CCCCCCTGGAGGCCGGCAGTGCTGTGGGACCGGGTGACACTGACCTGCCAGGGCTCGGGGACCGCCGGTGTCACCACCTGGTACAGGGACGGGAAGCGATGGGGACAGCAGGGACGAGACCAAGTCACTGTCACCGAGAGTGGCACCTACACGTGTGACAAACCCGGCACCGAGCTCAGCCACCCCGTGACGGTGTCAAAGGGTGAGAGGGGTTTGGGTGTCCCCAGCCTGGCACCGCGGGGACCCCGAGGGCTCTGGGTGGGCTCCTCTCCATGGGTCACTCACTGCTGTGCCCAGAGCCTGTCCCCTGCTCTGGGGACATCCCAGAGCATCCCGGTGAGGGGGACCCGGTGCTGAAATTGGGGATCGCTGGTGCGCTGGGGGGTCCCGGTGCCATGGGGTGTGACAGGACCCCTCTGTCCCCCAGACCGGCTGGTGCTGCAGGTGCCGGCGCGGGCGCTGCTGGAGGGGGACACGCTGACACTGCGCTGCCGGGGCTGGGAGAACACAGAGCTCACAAGTGTGTACTTCTACCATGAAGAGAAGGTTCTGAAGGGCCCCAGTGATGCGACCGAGCTGTCCCTGTCCCCTCTGCAGCTGCACCACAGTGGCCGCTACTGCTGCAAGGGCTGGCTGGGCTCTGTCCTGGCACAGTGGAGGGAGTCAGAGGTGGTGACAGTGACAGTGCAGAGTGAGTGCAGGGATGGGGACAGGGAAGCCTGACATCCTCTGAGTGTTTCCCCACCACTGCCTGAATCCTTCATCCGTCTCTTTTCTCCTCCCTGGGGTCACCCAAAATTTCCCAAGCCCTTCTTGGTTTCCCCCATGACTGCCCAGTTCCCCATCCAGATCCCTCACCCCTCTGTTTGTTCTCTCCGTCCCTCCCCAGATTCCTGACCCCTTCCAAGGTCCCTGTTCCACTCTCGGCTCTCCCTTCCTTCCCTGGCTTCACCCGCCCATCCCTAAACCCCAAATCATTCCCCGAGTCTCCTCAGTCTCTCGTGTGGTTCCCCATCCCTGCCTGGGTCTCTCCACCTTTCCATGGGGTCTCACCATTGTCCCCAGGTCCCAAGATGCCTCCCAGGGTGCCCTTCTTCTCACTGGGATCCTCTCCGCTGCCCTCCATTCCCTCTTTTCCCCTCCCGTGTCCCCCACCCCTCCCATGTCCCCAATCACTCCTGTGTCCCCCCACAGGGGTCCCGCCCTCGGGGGTGTCCCTGTCGGTGCAGCCCCCCGGGGGACAGGTGGCACCTGGGGACAGCCTGGTGCTGAGCTGTGCGGTGGCCAAGGGGACAGGTCCCCTGTCCTTCTCCTGGCACCGGGAGGGCTCGGGGGCACCGCTGGGCACCGGGCCCCGCCTGGAGCTGTGGCACGTTGGGGACAATGACAGTGGCCAGTACCGGTGCCGGGTCAGC